CTCATGAGAAATCTATTTTGAAAAGTGTCCAACCTCTTTTCGTCTTCTTGGTGATTTTCAACGTTTCATTTCGTAAAAACTCACCTTCACAATACAGACACCACTGCAATACAGTCACCTTCACAGTACAGACACCTCCACAATACACACATCTTCACAATACAGACACCTCCACAATACAGACACCTTCACAATACAATCACCTCCACAATACAGACACCTCCACAATACAATCACCTTCACAATACAATCACCTTCACAATACAGACACCTTCACAATACAGACACCTCCACAATAGACACCTCCACAATACAGACACCTTCACAACACAGACACCTCCACAACAGAGCGGATTTCGTATGAGTGGGAAACGGACGGTACTGTACTGTGACCGTAATTGTACTGTAACCAAATTCCAGTGGCCCCTTGGTTCACCAAAAGTGTGAAGGCCAGGTCCGGTGACTGTGCGGTAACCGTGCGRTAACTGTGTCCCACTCATACGAAATCCGCTCTAACAGAAACCAAACCTCCACAATACAGACACCTCCACAATACAATCACCTTCACAATACAATCACCTTCACAATACAATCACCTCCACATATACAACCATCTCTGCAATACAGAAAAATCTACAAAATCACCTCTACAATATAATGTGAAGCATGAAAAACATTCACAAATAAACATAAACAAATCATTAATAAATTTACCTTAAGAATAGGTGTAGACATTGACTTTAAAGGGGTGATGAAGAAGTTTGTTGTATCAGTTGATTCAATATCAGCTGGTATCCATGGAAACTCCTGAAGGAAAACAACAGGAAGACAATAATTCAAACATTAAGTATATGATTTTAATTCAGGCACCGCGGAGCACAATTTTTTATTGCCTTAAATTCCATTTAGCCACCTAATGTTTTCAAAAATTGCGGCCAAATTATTTGGGTGGCTAAGACCCCCAAAGCTCCCTCGGCTCCGCGGTGCCTGTATTAGCAATACTACTTTTCGAAAAAGTTTTTGAAGTGCAATTCGAAAAACCGTGACTGCACAGAAATTTGTCGGGAATGTTTATTTCCATTGGCCAATCAGAAACGACATTAGCCGTTACCTTGGTGCATTTTTTCGTGCAAATTTGATCAAAACTTCAACGATAATGAACAAAACTAGTTTATCACCAAAAAACGGCATGTAAAGTGTAAAGGCTCACAAATAGTACAATTTTGTTGTTTAGATTATTATTTTTTTATTTTTGTGGTTTTCATCATGCTTTCTTGTTGGTCATGTGTTCTAGGCGCGGCAACGGCTTTTCAACTCGCACTGTAAGGGACCATACCGGGCCTTTTGGCAATACTCCAGTTTCGAATTCTCTTTTGCGCAAGTTAAATTCAGTCAAGGATGAATTTTTATTGTCTTCGATCTTTGTACACAGCGTTTTTGCACTACAATAGGATGTCTCCTGAATAAAATAATATACAACATGCTTTCGAGGCTAAGGCTGCACAAATAAGATCTCGAAACTGGAGTATTTCTGAAAACCTGAAAACAACTTGTTGAAGAGAAATTATGTACCGAGTTGAAAGACTTCTCAAAGAAATCTAGTCGTTCAACCGGTTTTAACTCTATTAAAAATAGAGTTTATAGAAAATCTTGCTATTTTTATATAGAATCTTCTTTCTCAAAATATAAAAATGGATTTTCACCTGACAATTTTAGGTTTTGTAAAGGGTGAATCCTTTGAATTCCTATTCTTTAAGTGTAATTTTAGTATTAATCTTTTTGATCTTTTTGATGTACACCTAATTGAAGAAACGTTGTCGGGTCCAAAAAGGTCAAATCATAGAAGCTAAGACCGAAAGGGTACTTGGGAAGACAAAAAATTTGTCTAATTTCATAACAAACAGCTCTCCAGCATAAAAGACCATCATGCTGTTAATCTTACTAGCTCTACTTGCTTAGTGTACACCGTATATGCAAATGTAAAATCCCAATTTATTGGTACTCAAAATCCCTTTCGGTCTTAGCTTCYATRATGTGACCCTTTCGAACACGACTACGTTTTTTCAATTATTGTAGGTGTATACAAACGACGTCATCGTATGCCCACCCATAGTGGTCCCAAAACTCTTATGTCGCAACATTGGTTAGATTCATATTATAAGAGTTCTGTGAACTTTTCTTCTAAACCACTCAAATTATCAAGAGATGATCTGTTTGTAGTACACCACTACGGCTTACAGACAATAAAGACTTCCGAGAGCCTATTGAAATACTGTATGAGGACACGACTGGGTAAAATAAAACACTAACAAACTAACCAACTGTAACATTAGTCAGTTCATAATTGGCAATGATGGGACAGAATGGAAAATATGAATTGAAGAGAAAGCAATTCTGAAAAAATACTTGTGCTATTTTCATGAATATGATCGAAATAAACTGAAATATGAACCAGCCTCAATCAGGAAGAGCATT